TTCAAGATCTAGTTAAGTGTATGTACAGTTTTGTAAACTTAAGTAGTATTTTATCGATCTGTTTTATAATCCATGTACACCACAAATGATTTGCTTCTCATATAAAACATAAGTTTCAAAACTAGGGATATAACAGAAAATTATTCTGCATGCTTGAAAGATTACTCTAGCTATGTGACTTTGAACAATACTGGATGACATAAATATCAAAATGGTTTACAAATTATGTAAGTACACCTAGTAGGCTATACTTCATTAGTTCCAGGTTTACAGTTGTGATATCGTGAGATGTTATATTGTGACTTTATTTTAGGCCTGTGTAAGGCGGTATTTAATTCTTTATATTATTGTCATTAAGTGGGTAATGAGTCACAAAACAAATAATCAAAACATTTCATAGGTGGGGCACCAAAAGTGTCTTTGCCCCCAGGTGCTGAGAACCCTTGCTACGCCATTGCTTTCTGCTTGTCGTCAGTTCTTAAGTGTATCAGGCCCTTCGCCCCCACACAAAGGGGGGGGGGGGCATATTTACACATAATACAATGATCTTTATAACACTAACATAAAAAACATATTGTAGATGATAAACTTAATGTGGATTACCAGCTTCCTTGCTGGGAAAATTTACTGAAACATAATATGCTGTACAACAAACGAATGTCTAATTAAACTTAGATTCTGTTAGTAGACAGTGGATTAATAAAAACAACTATCAGCATCTTGAAAAATGATAGGAAGCAAATTATGAAAACTTAAATATTGTCGAAGCATACACAGAAATAAGTTCTGTAACGAATTTATTGTTATGTATTTATTTTTAATATGAACATTGTTCAGATTAAGTTTGTATTTAAAAATATGCGTAACTTATAGTGTCAGATATTGTATTGCGTGTAACGAGTTTGTTATATATTTATTTTTAATGACAATATTTGTTGAGATTGAGTTTATATCTAAAAACGTGCCTAGCTTACAGTGTTAGTTACATATAGCGAAACTCCTGTCAATTCTCCAAGGTTGTAGAATATTCGTGAACGCAAGAATCGACAATATATCCATTTCCATAACCAGTTAAATAGTATTGTCCAAACTTTCGAGAAAGTCTTTCCAGTGACTATAAAAAGCGATGCACCAAAGAAGAGAGAAGATATAAGTCTGCTAAGAACCTGCTATAACCATGTACACTATAAACCGTGATTTTGCTAATCCTTATCAACTGGAAAATATACTACATTTGACCAGGAACAGTTATAAATTTCGATCATCAGTGAATTCTCATCAAACGTTAGTATCTTTCCGAAAAA